ATCTGACACTTTATTCGAATCTTTCCTAAGGGTCTGGACCCACTGGTGTTGAATTCGTAGATTGTAGTGCCCGTAGATGCTAGCTTGCTAGCTGGTATTCTGAGATTATGCATCAATCGGAATGGCATGATACTGACAGCGGAACCCGGATCGACTTGGATCCGGTTAACAACGCTGGAGCCAATGTGGCCGGTGAAGTATAGAGGCCGATCGTGCTTTGAATTCTTCGTCTGCATGTCTTCTTTGGTGAAAGAGATGCAGGGAAAACGATGCGCCGCGAGATTACAGTGTTCAACTGACGGCTCCGGTTCTTCAGACGACGGCTTGATTCGAGTCAAGAAAGCTTCAGAGTCATTCAAGGCTTCCTGCAATGCTTTCCTTGTGTCTTTTGATAGACGCAATAATTCATATAGGGTTATCCTGGCTGGTATATTAGCTAACTGCGCCATGATGTCAAAATGGGGCGGAGAGCTTGCCTTTCCCGGTTTGTCTCTCCCAATCGGATGATTGAATCGAGACTGCCTCGGGTTTTGGACTTCTTGGTGTAGAGGCTCTTTTCCTTTCTCCTTTTGCTGGACTTTCTCCGTAGCTACAGGTGTTGGGGGAGTCGCGACAATTCCCAGTTCTGCCAACGTCTTTGAGGGAACGGTTTTGTTTGCTCCCAGTTGCTCAGAAGCATCCGGATATTTGTAGTGATATTCATTCCCACTCCGTGTTGCAAAGGTCTCCTGTTCATCTTCAGAAAGCGGGAAGGCTGGGATTTCCTCGTCGTCTTTTCCTGGAATAGCAAAAGCTCCATAACAAGACTTACCTTTTCCTTTTGACCTCTTTTTGGAAGAGGCTCCGGTCCATTGTTCATCTCCAACCAAATCTGGATGAACCCAAAGAATCTCACCATTCGGGGCCGTGTGTGGTACAAGTCCCTTCTGGCGCTGTTTATGAGGATCATCGTTCACGGTCTTCACCGTTGCATTTATTACCGGCTCATGCTGGAACCAGTTCAAGGGAACAGAACCGAAGCTAATCGATACTGCATTTGCACCCACCTTCTTCTCCTTAGGTTGTTTCATAGTGATGACCCCAACATCAATCAAAGCTTGAATTTTATCCTTAAGGGCGTAGCACGACTTGGTAGGGTGGTGAACTGCTCTGTGGAACGCGCAATATTTCGGGTCATTAACCCTTTTGGCGTCTTCCTGATCTTGGATTGGCGGCAACTTAATCTTATTGTTTTCTATAAGGTATTTAAAAATACCGGGAACTTCATCTTCCTTGAATGAGTAAACCTTCGGGAATTTTGGTTCCGAAGTCTTCTGTTTTTGAGGCTGTTGTTGCCACCGTGACTGTTGAGGCGCCCTCTGCTGCTGCTGTTGCGGTTGCGCTTGCACTTCAAATGTTTGGTTCGCATCTACTGCATTCACCTGTGCTTTCCCTTTTCCCTTAGGGACAAAATTTTGTTGCGGGGCTGGTGCCGTCGTTTGACCTCTTTCGGCTTTTTTTCTCTTGAGGAAACGTTCGGCTCTTTCCCCTCGGACCTTCAAGTCTTTCCAGGTCTTAGATGGTGCCATTCCCATAGCTTCAAGAATATCCAATGAAAGATTGTTATGACAAGTCTCCAGAATAAAGTCTTCACTAATCGGATCCCTACAATTCATGGCCTTGTTTCGGAATCGCTTAATGAAATTCTCTACTAACTCTCCGTCCTTTTGTTTCTCATCAAATAATGTCCCGATCGAGACCTCAGTGTCGTCGTCAAAGAAATTTGTGAGAAACATATCCTCCATGTCATCCCAACTGGCGATGCTCCCCGGCTTGAGGCGGCGATACCAATCGAAGGCTGCTCCGCGAAGAGTGCCGACGAATGACCGTACCATCAGAGGTTCGTTCCCGGAGATTATTCCCAAATGAGACTTGAAGTATATTAAATGCTGCGTGGGGGAACCCTTTCCATCAAATGGCGTGAAATTGATCAAATTGAATTTTGCTGGATACGGGATTGATTCCCACTCCCTTGGGTATGGGCACGGTATTCCAGACCTTTTCACTTCCTGAGCATTCATCAACGCATTGATCTTGCTCTCCAAATCCCTCATCTTCTTGTCTTCACTCGTATCTGTCTTCGAGTGGTTTCGGGGAGAGGTAACGTGGTCCTCTTTCGTATTGTTATCATCCGAAGGGCCACCCCCATTATTGTTATTGACGGGAGGGGTGTTCATGTTGACATTATCCTCCCCTTCTCGATCATTATCAGCTTGGTCAGGATTGT